GGCGTGCCTGAGGGGCCGCCATGGCGGGGCTGTGCGGGGCCCGGCCCGCGCGGTAGGTAGGCCTCGGCGGCGCCCGGCTTCACGGCTGCTTCTCTGGGGATCCCCCCTTCCAGGTGTCGATTCTTTTCTGCCGGAAGAGAGAAACCCCAACCGCCATCCGAGATGGGAAAGGAAAAGACCCACATCAACATCGTCGTCATCGGCCACGTCGATTCTGGCAAGTCCACCACCACCGGGCACCTCATCTACAAGTGCGGGGGCATCGACAAGAGAACCATCGAGAAGTTCGAGAAGGAAGCCGCCGAGGTGCGCGCTCCGGGGGCGGGACAGGGACGAGGAGAGAGAGGTTTTTGGAGTTGCAAAACGGGAGCTGCAGAGCGTGTGGCGGCCGCGGGGAGGCGGGGCGGGGGCAGCCGGCCCTCTGGATCCGCTCCTCCCCGGGGCTGGAGGCGGGACGGGGCGCGGGCTCCACCGGGGGCTTAATTGGCAAAGGTGGGAGTGGGGAGTGCAGGATGGTGGGAAGGGAAACGGGAGTCCAAAGCTACGCCTTGTGCCCGGAGTCTAAAGCTAAGCGTTGTGCCCACAATCACAGTTTAGGTGGAGTTCCCAGCTTCGGTCTTCAAACAGAATATAGTTGAGCACAAAACTTAAAAATTGCTCTGATAAATTCTACTTCTGAACACGAAAGGAATGGATTTTGGTGTTTGAACCTGCTCTGGCAGGGGGGTGGACTGGATGATCTCCAGAGGTCCCTTCCAGCCCCATAGCGTTCTGTGAGTTCTCTCCTATGGGTGAGGAGCAGGGTAACCCTGAGGAGATCCCACTGGAACCAGCAGGGCTTTTATTCCCGAGGTCGGGAGCCGTGCCGGGGCCCTGCTGGGGCTGACACTTGTCCGGGGTGGGAGTACAGCACGGGTGGGGAGGGGGGGCACTCCCTGCAGTGTGGGGTCCTGACACAGAGCTCCCGTACCCCAACACGGTGGTGGGGCTGGGTGATGCCCCCACCTTCACCGGGGGCTACAGGACTCCCCGCCTCCACTCATGACCTTCTGCCAAAGCTTCCTGAGGCCCAAAAAGGGCGACTCTTGTGCTCTAAGGGTACAGGTGAGACAGAAAAAGCTTTTTTTCTTCTTCTTTTGTTTTTTGCGGTTTGGTTTTTTTGAGCCTTATGACGCTGTTTCCTATTTTTCCTGAAATTCCTCCCTCCCCCCCCCCAAACCCGTTCCCGGGCCTTGCCCCGGGTTGTGCTCTAAGGGTACAGGTGAGACAGAAAAAGCTTTTTTTTTCTTCTTTTGTTTTTTTGGGTTTTATTTTTTTGAGCCTTACGACACTGTTTCCTATTTTTCTTGAAATTCCTCCCCCCCCCCCCAAGCCCGTTCCTGGGCCTTGCCCCGGGTGAGCTGCTGGGGGGGACGGGGGGAGGCTGGCATTCCGTCATCTCACGCGACTTTTCTAATTACTAATAGCCCTGATTGAGTTCTTGTGGCTCCCTCATAAGGAACACAATCGATGTGCCCCGGGGGTACTCCCCAGGGACTTTCTCGAAGCCGCTGCACGGGCCCGGACTGGGCCATGACGCAACGCGTGACGCTTTCTCGCCCCCATCGCCTCCCGGGCCGCCTCCCCCCGGCCGGAGGGACCGGTCCCGGTTCCCATCCCGGTCTCCGTCGCCATCCCGGTGCCGGGCCCGGTGGCGGTGGCGGTGCGGGCCCAGCCGGGGGCTAGGGGGGCCGGAAGCGGGCGGGGGTCGCCCTTTGCCCGCGCGGACGGCAGGGCGGGGCTGGCGGGGCGGGGCCGCGGGGCCGCCGGGGGTGGGGACGTGTCCCCCGGCCCCCCCCCCCCCGCCGGCCATATAAAGGGCTCCGCTCACG